TTACGCAGACGATGCGTGCATGTTTTAGTATGTTTTCAATGCATGCAAATAACAGTAGAGCAAATAGTATTTTTAACCAAACATTTCTTTTTTTTTAATATCGGAAATCTGATGGCTTAATAAGGTACAGAACGATAACAAAGTAATACAACCTTCTTGAACAAGTTTTGTGTCCGGCCTTGCGACGTGGACGGCTTTATTTTGATGTCACCCGACCTGCGCTATTTCAGATATAATTTTTTAAAAAAATCTAACGCATCGACGTGCCAAATCGCCACCCGAGTTCTTTATTTTTCTCCTAGATAGGGGAGGTTGACGTATGGAGTTACGGAAGAGAGATTAAAACATCGTGTAAAACAAGGGGCGAAGCATAATTCAAGAGTTCTTTACGCCTCAAACTTTGATACATTTCGTGCGCCACGCAGTGTTCAGGGCCTGCATGGGGGTTGCTGATTACGAATTACGCAAAATTTTCGCTATAAAGTTAAAGTTTCATAGCTGATTACGACTTTTACGCTTTGCGGCTAATGTACTGATTGCGAATTACGTTGATTTTTGGGAAGGTTGCCTTCGGTTTACGAAGACAATGAATAAAAAAACGCCTGATTACGCCTTACGAAAAAGGGCATGCAGACCCCCAGTGTTGGGCCGGGCGTTCCCACGCCGCGTCGCCATAGAAACCGCACGTCGCCAGCAGCGGCGGCGGCGCTGGCAGACTCCCCGGCGCCGACTGACCACGTGGCGTTCTGGCGCGCCAATCACAGCGCGCAGATGGGGACCCGCCCACCAGCCGGCCCGCGAATTCAAAGAGTTGAGTCAGATGCACCGCCCCACAGAAACACCGCCTGACGATTGTTATACGTACGTCGGATTGTGGCTTCTTTTTCCGCCTTGCACGGCCGGCATGCGACATTGTGTAATTTTCTTATATCCCAATTTCATCCCAAAACAACGTTTTTCACATGTGAGGAGGCTAGTTCCATAGAGTGTACCGAGTGAATTTCAAATTTTATGGTCTGAGAACGAATTAATTTCCGTAAAATTTATCATAAACACGTTTAGTTCGGGTTCTCCCGTGTTTATTTATTTTTCGGGTTCTCCCGTGTCTTGGACGTGCGCTATCGACTCCGTTTTCATCTAGTTGGCTGACCCTGCAGCTGACAGAAGTAGAATGTTTTCCTACCGAAAGAAACTTTGCCAGCCGTGTGGAAGTACTTGCTCCTTGCTTTCAGGGTGATAGTAATCTATCGAAATTAATTATGGACATGGTCGTTGTTGATGCAAGAGTTTTTGGGGAGGGAGGAGACGCACGCCCCGGGATTTTGATGGGCAGACTTTTAATTGTCGCAATTCTTAATACTAATACGGAGACCTCTTGACGCAAGCTACCATGAGAAGACAACAGCTACAAGATTATGAAACACAACAACCACAAACTACTGCCGGTACGCCTCATAATTTTTATTTCTTGGTAACAATCTTGCCGAATTTACCGGAGACGGAGGGATTACTACACGTTACATTGTATTCATTCACGGTAGTTTCTTAAAGTTTGCGCTGAACAATAGCTTTGAAAAAAAAGTAGCAGTTTTATAACTAACTATGACCGCGTGAGAAATACCTTATACACATTATTTTCGTACATTCTTATGCTTCAACACCATTAAAATTGTAGCAAAATTGTAGCAAAGTTGACTGGCGTCAGACTCCATCGGCCCAGCACAGATCGCCCGGCAGGACGTAAAAATAAACATTTGGCACGCCGCCATCGCCGTTCCGAGCCGCGGTAAACTTCGGGGTCTCGCACCAAGTTTTTTCGCTACGCGGTACGCGGGACACGACAGGCCTCCCGAAAGAATACCGCGGGATATCCCGCAATCTCCCGCGTGATATCCCGCAAACTCCCGCGGGATATCCCGCAGTCTCCCGCGTGATATCCCGCAAACTCCCGCGGGATATCCCGCAAAATCCCGAATCCCGATGATGCTTATCCCGCGATCTGTACTGTACAGTCCTTGCTGGAAAGAACTTGTTCAAGTTTCGGAGAGAAAATCTTCTTGTCCTTAGTTTCCCTGTGGAAAGCTGTTTGTTTGAGTTTCCAGGAAAAGCGCGTTGAACATGCGCACTTGCCTGCTGCCGCCACATGCGCTCAGACTCACAGTAAACCAATTAACTCCCATCCGCTTCACAAACAACGTCAGTGGCAGGATTTTCATTCACTGCTGCAGGTGGAGAAGTCAAGTGGAGTGGGTGGGTGTTCAAGTGGGCAGGGGGAAATTATTGCTCTGGTTCTCACATCTGTGGCTGGAGTTTTGAAATTTCTGTATCGTAAAATAATACATTAAGAAACATTTTCACTCACAGCTGCACAGAAGTCAAATGGAGTGGGTGGTTGTTAGGGTGGGCACGGAGAAATTATTGCTCTGGTTCTCACATCTGTGGTAAAATACTTTGAAATTTCTGACTTGGTGAAATGGGAGTAAACTTGAAAATCTTAAACAGCTACTATAACAAAGATTTATTTCCTGACACTCACATGCCAAGAATATCCTGCATACTATTATACATTTGATATGTACAAAAATACCGGTACCTACAAAAATATTTGGGTGCAGAAAAAAATTGGGTGCACAGTTCCAATTTTGGGGGCATGTGCACCCAGTATTTCCATCCCTGTAGTTGTTAATAGTCTGTTCTATGCAGTATGATTATAACAGTCCATTTTATGATACACACACTAAGTACAGTGTTGCATCATGGAGGGAATTTAAAAGGCGGTTTCTCCTAAGAACATTACTAAGGTGCATTTCAGTCTTATTGATGGGGTGAAGTCTCCAACGACCTTCTTAAGGTTTAAGTTTCCTTACAGCACCTCAGTCTGACCTCTCAAGGTCAACATCAACCCGACATCCTTTAAGTAAGGGGAGGGTCCATTATTCCGTGTAAGGGGAGTTTCATAGATTCTAGTTGAGGATGTTTTGCTTAGAATAAGATTAATTTTGCTGTTTCTTGTGATGTTAGAATATTTTTTGTTTAGACGATATCGATAAAAGTTGGCATGAAGTCAAAGTGATATAAAATCCTTCCATTGTTACATATTTAGAGAAGTATTTTATTACTAATTAATGTATGATTGAATGAAAAGTTTTAAACGGGAACTATGCGGCTCCAGATGTCTTACTGAGGGACGACTGCGTGTGCAAGATGTCGGTAGCTTGAGGAATGAATCCCCTCTACTATATACTGCATACTTCTCAATGGATGGATCCTCGCTGAGTATCTTCTGGACTTCCGGACCCAGAGTGATCCCGTACATCTATAGGAAGCACCTAGAAGCAAGTCGAGCCCTCATAACGACGCCCCTGGAAGAAAACACCGCCGCCACGTCGAGCACAATGAAGACACTGAAGATACCTTTGCCGTGAGCCAGTGCGCCACCACATCGCTGCCCACCACTACCAAGAAAAGGAGAACCCTGAGATTTCTACGTGTTGTTCAAGCCCCACAAGTTGCTGAGAAGCCAGAGCTACAAGCCAGAGCAAGAAAAACAGCCAGGGGAGAAGACTACACTTCGAAGAAGATGGATTTCTCTTTATTTTTCGTTTTGTGTAACATGGTAAACAAGACCTTTATGACATTTGTAATTGTTCTAGAACAATAGATGACGTCATGTAATAGGTCAACCAAGGTCAAAACGAACTATGTAACAGGTTAGGGCATTCTGAACGCCATGTAACTGACCTGAGGGCACTATGCACTGGAAAGGTATATAAGTGAGAACTTCATGCACTTGTGTCATTAGCCTCTGTACACTTGAAGAAGCCACACAGGCGAAACCGGTCGTGTGACAGGCTGAATAAAAGTTCTAAACGGGAACTATGCGGCTCCAGATGTCTTACTGAGGGACGACTGCGTGTGCAAGATGTCGGTAGCTTGAGGAATGAATCCCCTCTACTATATACAACATTACTAAGGTGCATTTCAGTCTTATTGATGGGGTGAAGTCTCCAACGACCTTCTTAAGGTTTAAGTTTCCTTACAGCACCTCAGTCTGACCTCTCAAGGTCAACATCAACCCGACATCCTTTAAGTAAGGGGAGGGTCCATTATTCCGTGTAAGGGGAGTTTCATAGATTCTAGTTGAGGGATGTTTTGCTTAGAATAAAATTAATTTTGCTGTTTCTTGTGATGTTAGAATATTTTTTGTTTAGACGATATCGATAAAAGTTGGCATAAAGTCAAAGTGATATAAAAACCTTCCATTGTTACATATTTAGAGAAGTATTTTATAACTAATTAATGTATGATTGAATGAAGACTATTATTGTAC